CTTTTTGTTTTGTTTTGTTTTGTTTTGGTTTTTCGAGACAGGGTTTCTCTGTGTAGCTTTGCGCCTCTCCTGGAACTCACTTGGTAGCCCAGTTGTTTTGTTTTTGAGGCAGGGTTTTTTGTGTATCCTTGGCTGTCCTGGAACTTGCTCTGTTGACCAGGTTGGCTTTAAAATCAGAGATCCACCTGCCTCTGCCTCATGAGCTCTGGGATTAAAGGTGTGTACCACCACTGTCTGGTGCCTTTCTTTTTTAAACATGTAGCTCAGGCTGTCCTGGAACTCGTGATCTTCTTCTTCAGCATATTTTACCAGTGTGTCCAACCAGCTGTTTTTGTTTTTATTTAATTGAGATAGCTTTGTTATGTAGTTCTGGCTGGCCTAGAACTTGCTATGTAGATGAGGCTGGCTTTGAACTTGAGTGATCCTCTTACCTCTGACTTTGGGGCTGAGATTACAGGCATGTGACACGAGGCCCAGCTGCTGCTTTTTCCTATTGTATATGCAGCTGGTCTCCCTTGTTCACGGCAGTTACACCTTATAAGTCACGTGAGTGCTGAATTAGTGGGTGCTGACGCTCTGCTTCCGCTGGAAATACAAGGTAGGCTCTCACAGCCTGGGTTCTGCTAAAGCATTTACTTTGTAAGTACTTACTTTTTATTTGGCTTTTCGAGACAAGGTTTCCCTGTATAACAGCTATAGCTGTTCTGGAACTTGCTTTGTAGGACAGGCTGGCCTTGAACTCATAGAGATCTGCCTGCCTCTGCCTTCCAAGTGCTGGAATTGAAGGCGTGTGCCACCACTGCCCAGCTGTAAGTTCTTTGGAAAAAAAAAAAAAAAAGACAAACAAAAAACCCCTCTGTTCTTCACTTAGATTCCATCTTCTAGTTTTGGCTAAAAAAGACTTCTTTTCTAAGGTCCTTACAGTATCACGCGCCTCATCAAATAACCTGTCCCTACAGTAAAGCCAAGAAAGCAGAAAGTCCTATGCACACAATGGGCCCTTCAAGCCTGCACTTTCTTAAGACTCTGCCTGCATTTTGGAGCCTACTTCAACGAGGGGACACCTGGCACAGCCTTGAGGCAGAGGGAGGCTTGGATCTGCCTCTATTAAATGTACCTCCTCATGGGAGGCCTTACCTTCTTATAGAAGGAAATGGGGGATGGGGTGGGTAGGGAGGGGGAGTTGAGTCACAGGAGGAGGGAAGAGGGGGATCTTTGGTATGTAAAATGAATAAAAATTTTTTCTTAATTAAAAAAAAGAAAAAAAAAAGAAAACAGAACCTGCCTGCTCCTCGTCCCTCTCTCGGGGGGCTGTTCACTGGACGGACTGTATGGCTGCTATCCCAAGACGTGCCAGCTTCACAGGACAGTGCTCAACTTCTACGCCCTAATTACAGCCTCTAGACCAGATCTATGAACAGGTATACTCTAAACATTTATACTACATAGAATAAATGAGTCACTGGGCAAAGATCAAACTTGGGAAGAGAGCAGTAGTTACCACCATCTCTTTATTCTGCTGCTTAGCTCGGTTTTTCTGTGTTGAGAAGGCCTATTCTTAACTTCGAGACCAACACAAGTTACAGGTCTGAACACGCCATGCCTCCTCTCCTGGGTATTCCTAGTAAATTTGTTTTTTTGTCAAGGTAAGGTAGATAGGAGTTTAAAGAAGGTAATGTCTGGCTATATACTGTAATGCTGTATATTCAACAAATAGACTCTAAAGCTAAATCAAAGAAGAGACATTTTTCTTCAGTAAGACAGTGAGTGCAGATTTTGTGTTGACTGCCACAAAACAACACTCTGGCTACTTCCGAATGGGAATGAACTAAAAACTACCTCATCATCATCAGAGGCAGTGATGGCTCCCCACAAGCAGCAGATGAAACCCGGCACTGTCTTTTGGCTAGCTAAGCTGTAGCTGGAGAAATGGTGATTAGCAGGACAGAAAGGAAAACCTAAAACTTCACCAACAGAGTAGCATTCACTTCCAGCTGTTCCTGGGGGCAAAACAGCTCCAAAGAGAAATGTGAGTGTAAGCTTTGCAGTTATCTCCACTCCTCATTACAGTGGCCCCAGTTATAATCACAGCTACGATTACGAGATTTAACACACCTGGTCTCAAGGAGGCAGTAGGGGAGAGTCAGGCATCCATCCATCCCATTTCCTTCCTTCATCCACTGAGTAAGCACAACTCAAAAATTTCAGTGAGTGAAGACTAGAGGTGTGAAGAAGAACAGGAGAGGCATTTTCCATTTACACTGCTTTTTGAAAGTGACAAAGATCTTCAAGGCCATAGGTTAATTCCTGTTTGGTGAGGCGAACAGCGCTGCTTTCATTAGCTATATACAGATGTGAGACACCTAGATAAAGTTTCTTTCTTTTATTTTTCTTTCTTCCTCTTGTTTTTGTTTTTGTTTTCCCCTCCTGTAGCCCATGTTAGTCTTGAACTTGGCTATATAGCCAGGGTGACCTGATCCTCCTGCTCCCAACTCCTGAGTGCTGGGATTATAAGCACACAACAGCACACTCAGCTTTTAGAGTTCTTGCTTCAGCTTTTACTGCTCTAACCGATCATTTTTTTCTCTAGTTAACACACGTATATTCTCATTCTCTTTTTTTTTTTTTTTTTTTTTTTTTTGGTTTTTCGAGACAGGGTTTCTCTGTGTAGCTTTGTGCCTTTTCCTGGAACTCACTTGGTAGCCCAGGCTGGCCTCGAACTCACAGAGATCCGCCTGGCTCTGCCTCCTGAGTGCTGGGATTAAAGGCGTGCGCCACCACCGCCCGGCTTATTTATATTCTTTTTATTTGCATGCACATGTGTATCTCTGTGCATGTGCCTGAGGAGGTCAGAGGTATGTCAGATCTGCTGAAGCTGGAGTTACAGGCAGTTGTGGGCTACCTGATGTGGGTGCTGGGAATTAAACTTGGGCCCTCTGCAAGAACAACATATGCTCTTAACTGCTGAGCCATTTCTCCGGCCTCTTGAATCAGCTTTTATTATTAAGGATTTACATAAACGGTGACATTGACTAGGGACACAGTTTAGTGCAGACTGGAATGAGTAGAGCTCTAGGTTCAACCCCCAATTCCAAAAAGAAAAACTGCAACAAGAACAACACAAGGACCAGGATATATTTACAAAAGCTTCACAGATTTTGTTGTTGTTTGAGATGGGTTCTTGCTCTTAGCCCAGGCTGGCCTTGAGCTCATGATCCACCTTCCTTGCCTCCTAAATGCTGGGATTATACGTATACACCAGTACGCCTAGCCTAAGTTATTTTCTGGAGTGGCAGGTGATTGAGTCCAGGGCCTTTCCTGTGCTGAGTGCCAGGCAAGTGTTAGACCACGGAGCTATATCCCCAGCCCTGTAGATCTTAACAAAGAGGGAAAATACAGATGTTCTTAATTCTCGTTTGTACAGCAGATTCTCAACAAAAGCTGTGTGTATCCTACAGCGATTCATTTAATTCTGTGAATACTGGTGCACATGTTCCCTATCTCATCAACAGACAAATAGGTGAGAACTCCATTACTGTACAACTCTTCCTATAGGAAAGCCCTTGTGACTCAGCTAGACCAGTCTTCCCCACTTCCTCTGGGTCACTATTAGTCACATCCCAATATCCATTTCCTGCCATCTTTCTTGCTAACTAAACTTTGATTTTGTTGCGAGCAGAAATGTGCCAGCTAAATGCAGCATCCGGACACCTTACAGTAGGGAGTAGTTAGGTGAGCATTCTGGCTGATGAATGAAACAAAGTAAGCTGGGGGGTGATGCTAGAAAACTGTCCCCCCACAAAGGACCTAAAAATGCCTAGAATGTCTTTCTCTCCCCTTCCGTATTTCTCATTTATGTCAGTGCTAGAGGCCATGGCTACTGCCATCATGCTGCAGTCAGGAGACAAAGGGCTGTGACAATCCCAGATCCACTTGCCTCGCTATGGCTAAGCAGCTAAGAAACACACGGTTCTTATGACTGGATAAAAACAAATCCTCACTTGTCGAGGCCACTCTAGTCAAGCTTTTAGAACTTGCAGGTGAACATGTTCGTGCCACATGAGCTCATTCAAGCCAAACCTTACCCTAGACAAGGCACATGAGAAGGCAGAGAAGTGCAGCTGGGGGTGACGGACAGGGAAGTGGCTGTATGGAAATTCAGCTGCCAGGCTGAACAATAGCAAGTAGGCATTTATGGAGCCAGCATGGCTGGGCAAGGTCGGAAGGGATAACTAAGAGTGGTTACATGTCCAAACAGGTATCAGCAACCCGATACGGTAAAATACAAGCACGAATAAAGCCTCTCTGTGCCACAGAACAATCACTCTCACAATAGCTTCCCGGAGGTTTGGTTAAATACTGATGTGCAAGCCACAGATGAGTCTGTGGATGCCAGCAAGTGAATTATTAATGCAGATTCTAATCTGAAATCAGCTGGGAAGGCGGTTCCATTAGAAGCAAGAGGGAAATTAATTTTGAGTTCATTCAATCTTAGCACACATTTGGATTCATAAACTGTCTCCCTTTATTGACCGTACAATGGGGAGAGGTCCAACCAAACCCACTTGAAGGAAGGAAGAAAGTGTATTTTATACCACAACAAAATATGGATTGAACTCAGAGCTGGAAAGGAAGTCTCTTAAATGAAGCCTCCCGTATGAACAATGAAGTGAGTCAGAAAGACAAGCCACCCGAGCTCAGGCTGCAGAGCAGGGTGAATGTGCTCCAGCTAGCTCACCTTGGAACTGGCCCGAGACTCACGGCCAGGACTCACGGCCTCTGTAAACGTGTGTGGATTTCCTGCAGCAGTTTCTGTGCAGGTGTCTAATGCATTACAGAGACCCTTACTGAAGACGCAAATGGTACCATTTTCTGGCTAGGAAAACCCTGCTGACCAACTCCTATCTAAGAAAGAGGTTTGAGCAGGACCTGTACAAGGAAGACTGGATACCAGAACAACACAAGGAAGGGAAGACGCTCGCGGGGCGAGGCAGGCTTACCTCAGTTGCTTTCTGGCTGAGTCCCCGAAGCAGCAGCACAACCACGTGGACCGCGGCTCTGCGCACCTGAACGTCGCTGTCTGTCTTAGCCACAGCCATGAGGCAGGTTGTCACCTAGGAGGGCGAGGGAAGAGGTCAGTAGGAACCAGGATTGCGTAACTATGTAGCCTTTCAACTGCGTCCCTCCTCTCAATCACACACTCCCAACAGCATCTGGCTTAGAAAGGGGTGGTTTAGTTTCCTCATGTTCAATGAAGACGGTGAGATCAGTGGTAGAGGTCCTGAGATAGCCAAGATTTTTTGGAAAAGGTCAAAATCTGGTTTGAAATCGAGGGATAGAACCAGGGAGTGGGAAGGCATAGATGTCTACAAAATACGTATTTCAGAAAAAAAGGCAAGGCCAAATGCAAGCATTCCCTAAAATCGGGGAGAAGGTGTTAGGTGCTCATCTTTAGGAACATCACATCAGAGGAAGGACAGATGGGTCAGAGCAGGTTTTAGGGTCCGAGGACCATGAGGCTTAGCGATGGAGTTGCCGAGTTCCTGGGCTGCCATGAGATGGGTATGCCACGGATGACAGTCTCAGAGCAAGGTCACCCAGTCCTTCAAACCTAGTGTCCATTCTAGAAAGTCAGCAGGGCTGGTTTTAGAAGCTCCCTGCTTGAGTCTCTTCCTTTGTGAAACAGATCTTTCAGCACCCAGTACTTTCAAAGACAATTCTATCTCAGAAAAGAAAGACTAGAAATTCCTTGCAAACATGGTGTCATATGGGTCAGTGAGATGGCTCAGAGGCACAGGTGTGAGCTGCACAGGCCTGTGACCTAAGCTCTTTCTCCAAAACCCTTATAAAGGGGAAGGAGAGAACTGACCCCTGAACACGGTCCTTTGACCCTCCCCCCCACTAAATAAAACATGGTGCCATATACACAGCTAATAATTACATGTCCTAAAAATGAGGCAGTGCGGGGCTGGGGAGGGCTGTCAGTAAACTGTGTGCTGTGCAAGCATGTGGACCGGAGTTTGAAACTGGTACCCACACAGCAGGAGAGGAGAGATGGGGCAGGGAGGGAGGGAGGGAGGGAGAGAGAGAGATGGAGAAGAGAGAGAGAGAGAGAGAGAGAGAGAGAGAGAGAGAGAGAGAGAGAGAGAGAGATTGATTCTAAATCCTGTACCAGCTATCCTACCACCGTTCCTCATAAGCACAAAGATACTCTAAAACTTCAATAAGGAGACACCATTAACAATAACAAGATACCTTTCTGAGGCACTCATGCAAGGCTTAAAAGGAAAAATATGACTTTTGTGTGTCACACGGCAATAACAAGCTGTGAGGATGTCTAAATTATTCAATTGGTTTCTCACGTAGTTTTGCTACTAGGTTTTCATTGTGTGCTTGTATTTCTTGGCCAGCAATGGAGGGAATTCTAGCCATGATAAGAAAATAGCCAGATCGTGTATTAGAAAACATGTATAAATACTTATTATTGTCAAAGGATGGGGATACAGGCACAGTGGGGAAACAGGCTTGTGTAGAAATTTTAACGACGCAGGTTGTATTTTTCACAGCTTTCAAACAGTTGGGCAGAGTTCAAAGTGTCTAATTAATCAGTGATGGCAGAGAGATTAGAAGAAGGAGGCTTGTTCTGAAATATAATTGCATCTGTGATGTGCTGGCATTCCATCAAGTTGTGCATCTATTAGACAAACTTGCAGTTTGAAAGGGAAGAGAAATCCCAGAGAAACTGCAACCCACTGGGAACCGTTGTTCACTAAGATCCAGGAAGCTACCTCTCTGCTTTGGACCTGGGACCTCCAACCCTAAGGCCAGCAGGGGCAGCTTCCATGCCCCTGGCATTAACGGCAGAAGCATTTTAGTCCTGAGGAATTCTTTGGGCCACCTCCAAAGAGGCAACAACATAATAGCTACCTCCGCTTTCAAGCTTAGTATTTACAAGGTAGGAACTGAAGGCAGAGAGACAAGTTAGAGCTGGGTTGTAGTCTTTCCAGACACATGAAAGTTTTCCTTACTGGTTTCATAACATAGGAAGCCAGCCCAAAGCAACGTCACAAGCCGAGGCTCCTGAGCGCTTGCCCGTGCCTTTCAAGGTTTAGCCTGGGGTCCATGACTCCGGTTTGGGAGACCAAGGTTTCCCATTTAGAATCCTAATGGTGCCTGTCTTTGCCTCCTCTGTTCCACCTCCCTGTGTCTCAGCTCTCCGTGCAGGCCTGGGTCTGACAATTAAGCTACAATTTGGATATCTAGGGAGAAGAATCCTGTTTGGAAAAGGGCTTTCCCAGCTGGGCGATAGTGGCACACACCTTTAATCCCAGCACTTGGGAGGCAGAGACAGGTGAATTTGAGTCCATGAGTTTGAGGCTAGCCTGGTCTACAAAGTGAGTTCCAGGACTGCCAGGACTGTTACACAGAGAAACTCTGTCTCGAAATGAAAAAAAAAAAAAAAAGGAAAAGGGTTTTCTCTTCAAAGTTAGTTCTTCGATCCCTACGCTATCTTGAAGGTACAGTGGAAAAAACTGTGCTCCTATAAGGGTTTCTGGGGTGGCCTGCTGATCATGTACCATTTGCAAGCAGCTGTCCAGGACAGTTAGAAAGAGGCCTAAGATCAGAAGAGGCCAATGCACCTTCCTCTATACCTCTGTCATCAGGACCACATTCTATTAAATGGAATGGCTGTTCAAGGCAGTAGGATTTGTTTGTTTGTTTGTTTTTCGAGACAGGGTTTCTCTGTGTAGTTTTGGTGCCTGTCCTGGCTCTCACTCTGTAGACCAAGCTGGCCTCGAACTCACAGAGATCCGCCTGGCTCTGCCTCCCAAGTGCTGGGATTAAAGGCGTGAGCCACTGCCGCCCGGCTTGGCAGTAGGATTTTTGTATGGCCTTGGGTATGTCATCTAAAGGTCAGAACAGCATCCATGCCCAGCACATACGCTGCTTTCCTGCAGGCTGGTACTCTGGGCTTCTAGAAGTGGGGAGACTGCAAGGCTGTCACCTTCCATCTGTCTAATCTGAACAAGCTACTCCATGGCTAGTCTTTCACCTCCAACTCCAAGGACAGACTCAACATTGCCTTTCACCTCTAATAGGCATGGTGAAGCACAGACATGATGTAAGGCCTTTACTAATTTATGAATTGGTAGAATATTCCCAATCCCTAAGTTCTCCTACAGGACAGGAATCCATTTTGTATTAATTCGTGGTACTTGCCCTGAGGGTCAATATACCTGTTCTAATAAAGGACACTGCTGAAGCCTTCCTCTTCCCAGGCTGACCCACAGAAGCTATATTCACATCTGAAAGCCAGACAGAAGGGAAGATGATGGCTGCTTTGGAAACATTAGTGGCCAGTTCAAGAAACTGAACATTTCACAGGAGCCACAGAAATAAGCAAAATCATCACTCCCAAACTGCTGGCACATATCACATATAAGAGAGACTTTATAAATAAAGACAATAAAATGGCAAGATTACCAATAACTGACTTTGGAAATTCCAGGAAGGTAGTTACTAGAGTTGAGACATGCATCAAGAAAACATGACTTCAACGTCCCAGCATCTCTTCTTCACCTTCCCTACAGCTTCGTTTGTTAAAATTCAGTTGCTGTGCTAATGTGTCTGAAACTAGGTCCACTGGTGAACTATGAACCAACAATTATTATGAGCCCAGCTTACTCACTTAACCTACCAGGAAAGGAACCACGATGGTTACCTGAGCTTCTTCAGGGTCCCCAAAGCTCATCACAGGTACCCTGTCCCGAAGGAAACTGCATTGCTGGTGGGATGGCTCGTGATGAACTCAGAGCATGTGACGGTTTGAATGAGAATGTCCCCACAGACTCTAGCATTTGAACACCTGGTCTCCAGCTGCCAGCACTTTTGGGAAAGCTTAGCAGGGGTGACCTGGCTAGAGGAGGGACATCAAAGGGGGCAGGCTCTGAGTTTTCATCCTTCCTAGGTGACTCTCTTTATTTTATGCTTATGGTTCAAAGGGTGAGCCTTGCCAGATGAGGTGGCACAACCTTTGATCTTAGCACTTGGGAGGCAGAGACAGGCAGATCTCCCTGAGTTTGAGGCCAGCCTGGTCTACATAGAGAACTCTAGGACAGCCAGGGCTACATAGAGAGACACTGTCTCAGAAAAAAAAAAAGAAGAAAGAAAGAAAGAAAGAAAGGAAGGAAGGAAGGAAGGAAGGAAGGAAGGAAGGAAGGAAGGGAGAGAGAGAGAGAGAGAGAGAGAGAGAGAGAGAGAGAGAAAGAAAGGAAGAAAGAAAGAAAAAAGAAAGAAAGAAAGAAAGAGAAAGATGTGAGCCTTCAGCTTCCTGTCTTCCTGTTCCTGCCATCATGTGTTCACTCCACCACCATGGACTCTAGCCCTATGGAATTGAAGTCCAAATAAACTCCTTCGTATATAGGTTGCCTTTGTCATGCTTTATCACAGCAACAGAGAAGTAACTAATACCAGCAGTAACTCTGTACCAGATCTCAGAGTTCAAGCATGTGGAGTTTTGGGCATTCATTAACGTAGACTGTTCCATAGCCTTGTCACCTGGGGCACATCTTATTTGCTGGATTAAGGACAGGCCTCTTCCTGTGGTGACTTAAATCACATTGCTTCACACAGTGATAAAGAGAAAAGCCTATCAAGATTTGGTTTCAAGCAGCACAGTGCTTAACGTGAACAAGAAGCTGTAGAAAAATGATAATGTACTCTAAACAGGCTAAATCCTGACATCAGCAAAGAAGAAAAACTTGAATTCCTAGCATGAAGACGGCGGAAGAGCTGAACCCATACTTTCTTTCCCTTCCTACCAGCCTACACCATATGAAACCCAGTGTCCCCAAATCTGGACAAATTAGGACAGCTCTCTTCAGATGCCACAGCTAGAGGAGCAAATGTCCGCAGAGCAAAGGGCATCAGAGGAGGCCTTGATGGCTAGTTCAACTTTCTAACAAAGTAGACTATGGATCTGCTCGTCCTCTGCCTTCTTAACACTTGTCAGTGTGACTTCCTTCCCTAACACAGGGTCCCAGCTTTGTTCGAGCCCTGTGCTTGGTCTCCTGAATCATCTTGTCCTGTCCATTGTAGACTCTACTGAGATTTC